AGGTAAGGGCCTTGTAGGTCCCCTTTCTCACCAGTTTCTTGGATTAAACTTTGTGCAAGTAGGTACCCTCTTGCTATAGTAAGAGGCTTTCAAATTAATTTTTAATATCCCAAGTTACCTAATAATGGAAGGGCTAAATATTCGCTCATTACAAATTCATATTCCATAAAAGCATCATAACTCCTGGTTTCAAGAATTTATGCTAGATTTTGCATCACTACGATAAAAATGAAAAAGTCATTTCGATTCAATCAAAATGGAACTGAAAAACTTCTACTAATGTGATGCTGTATAAATTTAAAAAGGAGGGTGACAAATAAAAGGGCCCCTAGGGGCATACGGAAAAGTGTTGACGCCATGAAGGGTGCCTAAAATCATTAGAGCGAAAACAACTTTTTGGTAATAATTTCAATGATTATTGATACATTGGCGACTGTAAATTATTAGCAACAAATAATAATAAATGACTAAACCCAAAGATACCAAATTAATTTAATGAGCGTTGTTTTCCTTCTAAAAACACAAAAGCAGCTGCTTTTCCCCAAAGAAACAATGTATCTTAAAATTTAATTTCGGGTTGCATTCTTAGTTGACGTAACTTTGTACAAAGTGGTCCCTAAGGCTATTAGAAGTTTCCTTGAAGTCTCGAAACCGCATTTGAAATAATTAAGTCGAAGTAATTTTGCTCCAGGAAATTTCCTCCATTTATTCATACAAAAACCCCAAAACCATCGAATATCGTTTTGTCAAAAAAATCGAGGCTTGTGGCACACTAAACCGGAAATGGAGGCCTTTTCGAAAATAGGCTCTCATTGTAAGTGCAATTCCGGAAGTCGATCTTATAAATCATCGAAAAACGACGTCCAAAACAGGTCCCCCATAACTGTTGTTGAGCAAAATGCGTGCCACCGACTTTATTTGCATAAGCACTAGGATATAGAGGACGTTTCCTACATTTTAAGTGGTTGCCCTGCAAGAGATTTTTACTAATGGACCAAAATACTGTTACAATTTCGTCGATTATACAATGAAATAATATACGGAAGTGACAACGACCGGTTGATTGGTCAGGTATATGCACCGGCGACTACTTCAGTCACTCAGTGTACGGTTATTAGATAATAATTTTTCAAGCCCCAATGAGATTAGTCTTTTCGCGACTTCCGATTTGTAATCAACCGCACGAGAATCGGAGTTTTTTCAACCGAAAAATTTGTTTTTTTTAGAAAGTGCGCAAAAAACTGTAAGTGTAAGATTAACATAAAAATTAAACTTTTATTATGCATGGATTTTTCATTCTTAATTTATAAAATTTTCATTAATTCGAACAAAACTAAAGGAATTTTTATTTTGTACAAGGGTTTTCTTGTTGGAGCATTGAACAGTGGCTTATTTTTGCAAATCAATTTTTCCTGGTTCTTTGGTTGAATTTGAAACTTCTCAACAAATTTTCCTACAATGTTGACTGAATTTAATCAAATTTGAAACTCTTTCAAAACCTTAAGAGGGGCGTTTAAATAAAATGTCATTTACAGACCTTCAAAAATTTCTGCTTTATTCCAAATTTAGACCACTTTTCAGTAAAATGAAGTTATGTTCATAACAATAATAGATTGGAGTAAGAGTCGACGCATTTTTGGTTGCAAAATACGCAGTCTAAATAGTAAAATTATTAACAATTTTGTTGACAACAATATGCAAATTTTGGTCATGGATTTAAATGAAAAAAGGGCGAATACCTAAAGTAGCACACCAACAATAAAACAAAATTTTCGAAAATTATAATGGTTTTATCACAAAATTAATCAAAATCTGCCAAACAACGAGGTGATTGCTGTTATTTTCAGCAGATACTCAAACCAAACGTGTGTTCAGCGCTTCTCTAAAAGATGTCGCTGAGTTCGGGAAGGGTAGTCACTTTTTTCAAACGCCAGTGAAAACTGTTTTACCTAGCTAAAAATGTGAAATATTATTATTTCATTTGCATCTGATTAAAATTATTTAGTCCACTGTAAATTACTGTGTAAACGAATTGATATTGAAGATGTCGCCATCTATTTGTAAATAGGTCAATCACTTTGAACACCTGTGATTAAAAAATATTTAATGTATGTCATAAGCCCAAAAGATGTCACGATGGCTCTTATCTGACGCCCCTCTTAAATGTCCTTGTCTTCAAAATTCTTTAGGAATAGCAACAGATTAACATTATTAATAGCAACGGTAGTTGACACTGCACCAATTATCAAATTTTCATTCTCCCTGGCTTTTGATTTGGATTCACCATCAAAATTTGAAATTTCTCGAATTTTCCAAAATTCAAACTTAATTGAGTTGAAACTACACTGAACTAATTAATCTGACTGATAGAAAATTTTTCTAATTCATAACTTTTGATTTGAATTCAATAAGAGTCGGGAATAATGAAAATTTTGAACTTCTCAGTGAGTCGAAACAATTTAGACGCCCTTTTTATTTAAGAATTTGCAAATTTCAATTTTTCCTGGCTCTTGACTCAAATTTGAAACTTCTTACTGAATTTACCTGGAATGTTGCAACATTGACAAGCCTCTATTTCAGACTTTTTAACTCAAAAACTACCAAAGGTGCAAACATGAAATTTTGAGAATCCAATTCTTTTTTACCTTCTTACTAAAACGATGAAATTTCAAATTTTTTTTTTGTCGAGATTTTGTATCCTAATGGTCAATCAACGTACCCCAAATTCTATACACTAAATTATTCCAGTAGTCCCTTTAATGGGATAAAATTCAGTGAAAGTTTCAGCTTTCTATCTATAATAGAGAAAAAGTTATGACCTTTCAAAGTTTTCCAAAATCTAAATCATAAGGTAGGTACCTTCTTACTAAAGCGATGAAATTTCAATTTTTTTTTTGTCGAGATTTTGTATCCTAATGGTCAATCAAAGTACTCCAAACTCCATACACTAAATTATTCTCAAATTTGAAGCCGAAATCTATGAAAAAAGGCACTCAGAAAAATTGAAAAATTGATAAATCACCCCAAATTGCTTAACGCGATTTTATCTCAGGAACTATAAGTGCAAATGAGCTGAAATTCTCAGGGATTGTAGTCCTTTGAAAGGGATAAAATTCAGTGAAAGTTTCAGCTTTCTATCTATAATAGAGAAAAAGTTATGACCTTTCAAAGTTTTCCAAAATCTAAATCATAAGGTAGGTAGGTACCTTCTTACTAAAACGATAAAATTTCAAATTTTTTTATGTCGGGATTTTGTATCCTAATGGTCAATTAACATCCTCCAAATTCCATACACTAAATTATTCTCAGATTTGAAGCTGAAATCTATGAAAAAAGGGACTCAGAAAAATTGAAAAATTGATAAATCACCTCAAATTGCTTAACACGATTTTATCTCAGGAACTATAAGTGCAAATGGGCTAAAATTTTCAGGGATTGTAGTCCCTTGATTGGGATAAAATTCAGTGAAAGCTTCAGCTTTCTATCTATATTAGAAAAAAAGTTATGACCTTTCAAAGTTTTCTAAAATCTAAACCATGAGGTAGGTACCTTCTTACTAAAACGATGAAATTATAAAATAAATTATTCTCAGATGTGAAGTCGAAATCTATGAAAAAAGGCACTCAGAAAAATTGAAAAATTGCGATAATTCACCCTAAATTGCTTTACACGATTTTATCTCGGAAACTATAAGTGCAAATGAGCTGAAATTTTCAGGGATTGTTGTCCTCTACTAGAATAAGAATCGCTGAAAATTTCAGCTTTCTATTTTTTATAGATAAAACGTTATAATGAAAATTACAAGCCTCCATTTTGGAATTTGTAACTCAAAAACTATCGGGAGCGCAAAATTGAAATTTTGAAAGTCCATTCTTGAAGGTTTGAGGTAAAACATAATGAAAATTCAAGGTGATCGAACCGCTAATAATAAAGTTATGAATTTTCTAAATTAGGGAAAAATAAACAATGATTTTGGAATTTAAAAAATAAAGGTATAAAGATTCTGAAAGCTCTCAAGATGTTTTTAAAAGATTTTCAAATGTGTGGTAATCCAATGAATTTACTGATTTGAGGCCAATGCATGACTGTCTTTTAAAATTCTGAAAAATTAGATTTCAGCGAGGATTTCAGAAATTCTGATGTTCTTTATTTAAAGCTTCAAGACTCTAGAGAGTCTCAAACTCATGAAGACTCTAAAAACATAAATTATTATACATTGAAGGTTAAAAATAAGCCCCAAAACTAACTAAATTACCTATATGACCTATACAGGCAAAGTATCCCTTCATAAACTGATGTCCTTGAATTTTTTTAAATAAAAATTATACTTACTAATCCTCCTTTTTAAGATTTTGCATTATTTGCTCCTTATCAACATCACACCGCAACACAAAATTGTTATCTCAAAAACATGTTTGCGTCTCATTTCAATCAATTCCAACCTTGTCTACCTCATAATGCTGATACTAAACAAACAATCTTGACGTGCGTTTTAGTACCGTGTCGTAATTTGCCCGTCGTGGTACACATTGATGTTAATTCAATGCCTTATTAGTGACGTCAAAAAACAATAATAATAATTAAAAAATTATAAGGTCAAAGACGAGTTTTTAATGGTTTTGTGTTAATAAATTGTAAAATAGAAATTATTATTGTATGAAAGTGATTACTCATAAATATTGAAGATTTCATATTTCTTGTGCGTGTCAATAAAATATTTGTTTCAGTAGTTAATCTCTGTTAAGTTGTTTCTCAACTCATTGATAATAACAATGTGAACGTCGTTTAAGTGAATCATTTAAATCCTATTAAAGGTTCAGTTTGTTGGCTGCTATCGGCAAGTTATGGTCCGTCCAAGCCGGCTTTAATATGTCAAGTTTAATGCACTTGTGATACATTTTGTCAGGGATTTTTTACTTAGAATTGTAAGTGAATAGTCATTATTAACTAAATTATATATTTTTGTTGTTTGTTTCAGGTAAAACTAATTCCCTTTATTCATGGGTGACATTCCTCAAAGTCCATCGAGCTTCAGAAGTGCTCTTAGTTTCTTCAACAGCTTGGATAGGCCCAAAGATAGACCTCTAATTCCCAAAAAAACTTTTGAGGTCAAGTTAGTTATTGACGGTATCCCAAAACAATTAATACCTAGAGCAAGATTGATCGGTAAACAAGATGATACTAACAAAACCATCATCAGAAATATTCCTGCTCAAGATTATCAAAAGCCACAAATACCTCCATCGAATCAAGGCCCACTCACACCTGATATGGAAGCGAAACAAATTCTAGAAGCTTTCAACAAGGAAATTAATTCGTTTAATTTTTTCGAAATTCCTCTAGACGCACTAGAAAGTGATTTTTTAAAACAAACATTATCGTTGGCCAATTCGGATTTAAGTGAAAAAGTGTCTCCTAGAAATTCGTATGGAATACCTGACAGAATTATTGAAAGGTGAGTCAACATTTTAATATAAAATAAATCGCACAAAAGTCCCATTAAAAGCCGCATTTTCCACGTTAAATGGTCCGAAGAATAAATCAAACTTTATCGGCTGTAAACAGATGACCTAGGGGGGGAAAAGCGACCTCCCGATTTCTGGCCCCGAAAGCGTCGCGACGCCGTATTGTCTCGCGTGTAATGATTAATACCTGCCACTAATTGTGTGTCCCCTCAGACCGAGGGGGGCACGTAGTCCGGATATTAATTCCATAAATTTACGAAATAGTATTTCAAGTAAACGTTTGTCCTATTCATAAAATGATTAATAGAATGTTTTAGAAGTGATGGATAAAGTAAACAACATCTGTTACTACGCATTTAAAAAAATGAAACACCTTTTTGTATTATAGGGACTACCACATAAATAACCCCCGTAAATATTTAATCTGTGCCATTTTGCATAAACATCTATTTAACTATTAATAATCTGGAAATTTCCATAACGGCCCTGATGGGTACTCAGGTGTTTTGCCGCTCGAGAAATGGTCCTTTATATTCGGATAAGGATTTTTATAAGGCAACCTCCAACAATGGGGAGCCTCAAAAGTGCCGGCTTGTGAAAAATTAATGGGCGATCTGCGTTTTACGTCTTTTCTGGCTAGGGATTTACTATACCAAGTCATTATGTTTATTTTTTCTTTACGAAGAATAAATAGAGCCTCACTAATCGATAGATGAACATTGAAAACGTTTTAGGGCAGATGTTTTGTCGCATGCCGCAAGACAAAAGCCCGCAGAGTTTCCCGGGAAACTTCAATTAAAGGAAAACTTTTCCGCTTCAAATGAAGTGGAAACTGAAGTGAGTTTTTTCGAGAGTTTAGAATTCCCCTTTCAATTTTTCTTACCTCTATTAATAATAATAATAATAATAATGGGGCTTGATTTAAAGTTTCCGGTTCGGGAAAGTGCCCCAAACACAGCGTGGAGTCTCGATCTTATGAGAAAACTTGTAACTTATGACTATACCTGACGCGGGTGGGACCTTTCGCTATTATTATAGTCACGCAAATCCTCTGCTTTATTAGATAATTTAATTTATTGGCTATATTATACCAACAGTAAAGTATTTTGATTGAATTCTCATAAAATGTGATTAGAATAAATAGTCAATTAATCAAAAACAGTATACACTGTGGATATAGGAAAATCCAAGGGATAAATTGCCTTCCAGAATTTGTGAAAACAATTCCTCAAACTACCTACAAATTCCTCCAGACTGGATAAAAATCCCCAAAATTGTTCGTGATAAGAAATGTATTTTTCCTTTTCTATTACGCTCATTGTTAAAACCAATAAATTCACACAATTTCTCATACATTCCTCCAATTTCTCATTAATTCCTTCAAGTTCCCCATATTCCTTTAAATTGCCCACAAATTCTTCTTAATTCCCCACAGTTTTGACAAAATAGTTATTCCTAGGTGGTTTGCTCCTTAAAGGTGAACGATCAGAAGGAATTTTTATTTTTCCCAGAATTGCAATCTTTTCTTTATCCATTTACAAAATTTCAAGCCTATCCTTCAAACGCTTTTCTCAGAAAAAAAATAAAACGTTCTGCAATGTTTTTTGAAGCTTGATTATTTCCAAAATGATATTGAACCACATTTCACCTGAGATCTTTGTTAATTTCGATTCGATCTTAACGTAATTCGGCTTGAAATGAAGCCAATTATAGTATTTTACATTATTAGCCAGGTAAAACAGTTTTTACTGGTGATTGAAGGTAATGTCACCTTCAAGAGCCAGTAAAAACTGATACCTGGCGTATGATGTACAATAATTTATTTGTTACTCATTTGTAAACAATAAATAAAAAATTAATGCATAGGTTATACAAATTTTAATAAATAATTCTACTGACCCTACTGACTTGTAAAAAGTTTTTACCTACGAGCGTGCGGTAAAGTGCACTTTACCGCACGTATTTGGAAATGGAAAGTATCACTTTACCGCACACTATGCGGTAAAGTGAACTTTACAGCATAGTGTGCGGTAAAGTTAACTTTACAGCATAGTATGCGGTAAAGTGCACTACAAAGTGTGCGGTAAAGTGCACTTTACCGCATAGTGTGCGGTAAAGTAGAATTTGATATTTATAATCAAAATTCCTTTCTTTTTCAGAAAATGGATTTTTGATCATTTCTAAACTTAATCTTATTTCATTAATTAATCTGATTCATTAATTAATTTTATCAATGCCTTTTTTGGAGATGTAGATGCTCATAGGGAAAATTTTGTACCTAACACATGCGGAAAGTGCCTTTACCACCCTTAACGGCTGCCGTTGCGTGCGGTAAAGTATCACTTTCCGCATTTGTTAGGTAAATAACTATTACAGTTTAGCTGTCAATTTTACAAGTCAGTAGAGCCAGTTGGAGCCAGTGACTGGTAAAAATCAATTTTCGTTGTTTATGTTTTGACTTGATAAATGACGTTTTACAAATGAGTGACAAATAAAATCCTTTACAAATCTCTATTGACTCTTTGAGGACTTTGGTGATTTAATGAAGGATTAGGATTAGAGGCTCAAGTTTCAGGGCTTTTTTTTTGAGAAAAATCCATTGAACCACATTAATAACATCCAAAAAACTTTAGAAATTAGCGAGGAATTAGGAATCGATCCTCTGAATTACTTTTCAAATTTTAGAATTTTGTCTATATACAGGTAGTCCTTTAAAACTTCGATACATAGTTTCGAATTTTCATAACTTTTTTTAAAAACCCTGTACAAAGTCGAAACTGGGGAATTCACGCACTATCAGGCATTTTTTTTTTTTTGAAAAATTTGATGAGCAAGTTATAAAGATTTTTTTTTGACAGGGGTTTTTTTGCACCAAGCTACTCTATGAAACACCCTGTTTATTGCAGTTAGGATTTTTTCTTATGGTGTTATTTCTCACTGGATAAAATGGAACTTTCAATATGATGAGCTCATGACCTTCCCTATTTCTCTTAAAAAGTTTCAAAATTTTCCCGCAACTGATTTTTCCAAAAAATGTGACACAGTGTATTTTCATTATTTGCCCTAAAATCTGCATATTTTTGAAAATTCCCAATTTTCTTTAAACACCTTGTTTAAAGTTGAAATTTGATGATTTAATAGAGAATGTGATAAGAGCTATTAGAAACTCTACTTAGATTTTTTAGAAAAAAATTCAATGCAACAGTTACAGGATGTTTTTTTAGAAATCAAACTCATTTTGCATTATTCTATTAAACACCCTGTATATTGAGGTTAAGAATTTCGTGAAGATTCGTAGAAAGAGCTTCTAAATAAAAATACCATTTCATTTCAGCTACAATATAGAACATGATCACTTGACTCTTCATCTGGAAAACACAAAAACAATTTTGCCTGGCAAAGTTGAAGAGCATTCAGCTATTTTAATAAAGCCCCATTAGGCTGAATTCACTTGAAACCACGTTGTGCAGCTGACACCCAACAGCAAACCATAATTCAACAATTTCTCGCCAGTATTCGGTAGTGCCCCACTCCTACACTTACCTTTAATAGTATAATCGTGTAACAAATGAGATCCTAACATATTATGGCGGACGGCTTTCCCGGGAGACACCAATTACCAAAAAGAAATAATCAAACGATGATTTGTTGCCCTAGATATCAGTGAAACGCAACTTCAGTTGTTGAGAGGAAGTTTTGAAAATATCTACAGCCAAATGCTTAAAGTCTAATACCAAACATGCTCAACAGAAGTAGCTTATCAAAATTCTGATTTGAAGGGCAGTTAGGATCATAGTGAGAAGAACCACTTATTAAAAATATTATTTCTTCAAAACTCAATTTTTTTTAAAAAAACGTTTACTGAATAAAATTAAATGTTGCAACCATGTACTGCGCCACAGAGTTTAGGTTTAGGGGAGAATGAGGGTACCATCCGAAAGGGAGGTAAAGAAGAATAACCGATTAGGCTTTGGAATGGAGAACAAGCGGCGGCTCTCCGAGACGCGCGTCTGTAATTATTCAGTTTTCAATTTTCATTCCTATTTTGCATTAAAATTAATTGTTCAATTAAATTTGTTATTAATGTGTGTGTCAAGGAGCGATCACCAGGTCAGTTAAATAATTATTATTTTGTTTTTGAGAGTTCAATTTATGCAAGTTCCTATTATATTGTTCATTTTATGCATTTTTGTTTGTTTATAACATTTTTTATAACATGTACATTGTTTATGTATTTAACCAAAATCGTTTCATACTGTAAACCACACAGATAAAGAGTAAATTAAAACCTAAGAAATTATGTGCTGTCTTTTTGTGCTGATATTTTGATTTTGTGTATTCAGAGTGTGCATTAGGGCTTTGTTGAATTTACTAACATTTTCCTATCCTGACGAGAGAATATCCTAGCAAAATGAGAAAAATCAATCTAGAGATATTGGCTCTAACTCAACTATAGCTGAGTAGCTTCCCGTATGGGACCTCAATACCTGCTGGGAAACTGGCTAACTAACCAAAAACTCTTCAGTTTGGAATATAGGTAGTGTTGATTAAAGGTTGAGTGTGTAATTGAAATTTTAGCACAAGAACAGGGACGGTATCTAATTTGAACTTTTATTGACCTAAATTATTGAATTAATGACTCACAATGATTATTTACCTAAAATGACAGTATGTTTCGATTTTTGGGGAATCGAGGTTTTCTCTTCCGTTCTCTTTTTCCTCGTTAATTCCAGGTTCCTTATTCTTGAAACAGGGGAGTAGCGTTCCCAGGAGAACGAGTCGTTCCATCTTTGTTACTTATATTATTATTTGCATATAATTGAGAAAGCCGAAACAGTCGTTCTCCTGGGAACGCTGCTCCCCTGTTTTAAGAATAAGGACCCAGGTCAAGAACGGTACGTTTTTCTTTGAGAATAAAGGAGGCGTTTCACAAATTTTGCGTTTCTTTTACATATTACAGATTCCCTTAAATTTCCCAAATATTTGCTAT